CACCCGCAGCACAGGAGACACAGCTGTCCCCTGGGGACTGACTGTGCACAAAGGCCCAGGCTGCTGGCTCGGAAGTGTTCCTAAGCCAAGAGCTACAAGCCCAGTGGCAGAACCTAGGATGGGGAGCAGGTGACCCAATGGGTCAGTCCTGTCCTCTCAGCTGTGCCCTGCGGTCCTCTGGGGTGGACCTAGCTGTCTGCACATTTTCCTTCTCTGAGGTACTCACGCAGGCGGGGGCGATCTGGTCCCTGAACCCCAGTGGGGGCAACTCCCACGCTGGCTCCAGCAGGGCCATGAGATGCTCTGGGGACGGACAACAAGGCCTTGCTCTGCCCCTGCTCTGGGGTGGGGGTGGGGGTGGGGGTGGGGACCCAGCCAACTGGAAGTGGCGGGTGGGGAGCCCAGAGGGGAGGGGAGAGCGTCCCCTGCCTGAGGGGGACCTTGCCATTCCAGGTGCAGAAGCAGGGGCCCGTGTTTGGACAAGGCCAGGGGGTGGGAGTGGCTGAGCTCGGCCGCAGACCCCACACATGTCATGTCCTGTCAGGTCTGGGTGCCAGCGCACAGCAACGGGTGTGGGGGTTAAGCAGCGACTGGGCCATGCAGTGGAGTCCATTCTGAGTGACACTGTGGATGTGGGACCTACCAGCGGAAACGGGGTGAGGGGTGGGAAGGAGCCTGTGGAAATCACGGGGCTGCCAGGGGGATCTCGTCTGACGGGCGTGTACTCCCCCATCCTCTTCCTCACCGGGTCCCATCTGCACACCCCGATCGAGAGACAGTGGTGGCCTATCCCTCTGTCCCTGGCTCTGGCCCGGTGGAAGGGAGGGACGCGTCTCTGCCACTGCGTCTCTGCCTGCAGTGCCAGGATGGGGTCAGGCCGCCCTTGCCCCTGGTTGTCTCCGCCGTATTTCACTTTTCCTCATCTCTACCAACCAGACCAGTCGACCTCTGGTGTCAATTTCCAGAGTCCAGTGTCTGTTCCACTTTCTCCTAGAATGTTAGTGCCCCTGAAAGGGTCGCTGAAGGTCACTGTCATGTCAGCAGATGCTCGGGGACGCCCGCATTCACCTGGCCTCCACATCCTCAAGCACTTAGTAGGGTTAAACTCATGCAACTTCCTTAGGGCAGCTTGGGTACGCGTCTCGCAAAAGGGCAACTCCGCCCCCGAGTTAGACACGTTTACAAACTGGAACAGTGCTGTCTTCCATCAGGCAGACCCTGCTGGAGGCTCTGGATGGGGCACGGCCTTGAAGCAGAGGAGGGGCTGGGCCCCTCTGAGTCTGGGCCTCCAGGAGCAGTTTCTGTGAGGGGCAGGGCGGAGGGACAGTCCCCCTGGGAAGGGGCCCGTGGCCGAAGAGCAGTGCCGGAGGCTGCTGGGGTCCCCCTGAGCAGGACTGGCCTGCAGGAGGGTGCAGACCCTGGAGGGAGCCCCCAGCCCAGGCTGCCCTCCACGCGGAGGAGGCCGGCCCCATCCGGACTCTGGGGGGAAGACCCCCGGAGCGGCAGGGCAGCTCGCTTCCACCTCTCACAGCCCACCCAGGGGGAGCAAAGCTGCTGCCACAGAGCCTCCGGGAGACCGCCGCGGCAGGAGTGGGCCGGTTGTCTGGAGCAGGGTGGGGGCGGGCCCCTGGTTTCTCCGAAATGCCCGCTCAGTGCGTGCTGTGTGCCGGCTCCCTGCCAGGCAGCCAGTGTGTGAATGGGCAGAAGTCACATAGGCGTGTCCCTCGGGGGAGCTGCCGCCACCCAGCCCCTGACGCCAGTGCCCACAGCTCTGGGCTGTGAGAAGCAGTGTGAGGGACAGCAGGAACCCACGGAGTGGCCGTTGGGCTGAGCGGGAGGGGACAGGTGTCTGGGCTTCCCATTCCCGCCACCTGGGCGCCTGCACCGGGCCGGCTGCTGTCACCTGTGCAGCGAGGTTCTCTGCAGCCGCCCGCGGGGAGGCAGGTGTACAGTCAGCCCGTATGGCGCCTCTGACTAAGGGGCAGATCCCCGGCAGCCCTGTGTCCCCAAGAACATTCTCAGACCCAGTGGGCAGCACTGGGCTCTGACGTGGAACCCGGCCAGCTCGGCCCGGAGGTTTGGACAGTAAACATGTGGTGTTTTAAGCTCAAACCACTTGGAATCCTAATGGGTGTGACCTTTGAGATGCCAGAGATGTTGTTGCAGATAGTTCTTGTTTTCTAAGTAGTTTCTGCAGGACACACCCGATTTTCACCCTGGAGGGGGCCGAGGGAGAGTGAGCTGTGTGCACAGGGACTCACGGCCTCTCTCTGCGGGGCAGTGCGGTCCTCCCCAACGTGCCCCCCCACGCTGCCTGCCGAGGCACCTGCCCGCTTGCCCTCCGAGTCAGGTCTCAGGTGCACCCCATGCACCACACCTGCCAGACCTTCTGAAAGCAGTCTGCGAAGGTGTTCGGCATCTCAGGAGACCCTTTAATGTTTTGTTTTTTCAAAAGAGCCAGAACCTCATTCTGTTTGTGTGAAATGTCTGAGGGTTTCTGCACAAGGCGCACACACATACCCACACAACACACTGTGGTGGAAAACAGAGAGCCCTGCAGGGTGGGCTGCCATCCCCTCCGGGAGCAGCTCTGCAGGGTGCCCCAGGACACAGGCCTCCAGGGGACCCTGTGGGCATCCGTGGGGTGAAAGGATCACTGTGGGCCTCGGATGGGCAAGTGGGGCTGTGTCAGACAGGCCACATTTGGGCAGACATTAGTGCAGAGGGCTCCTCGGTGCTGATGATGGATGTGGGGGAGTGTGATGGGACCGTCTTTCAGGGGACTCTGGGGGCTGGGGATGTGGCTTCTTGGGGGAAGTTGGGGGAGTGGAACCCTCACACGGTCCCTCACGCCCCTGCCCCTGTGCTGGCCAAGTGAGAGAGGGCATCAGTAGTGGTTCCCTTTTCGACTCCGTTTTGGAGGGACTTCAAGCCAATCGTGTGACTCCCCAGAAATGAACGCCGTCCTCGCCGGGAAAGCTCTCACTTCCTAGACACAGTCAGCAAACCCATGTTCTCTGAAGCACATCAGGAGGTGATGCTGGTGGCAAGTGGGCCACTCGGGACTGGCCTGTAGCCAAGACCCTCGGCGGGTTAGCCCAGGGCTCCACCTCCCTCTTCTCTCCGTCCTGACGTCCTGGGTGTGGAACGTGGGGCAGCCCTTCCTCCTCACAGATGCCAAAGCGCAGAACGGCTAAGAGCTCTGGCTCCGGAACCAACCCCTTCTGGGTTTGACAGGAGCCCCAGTCCCCGAAACCTCGGAAAAGGGCACCCAGACTCATACCCCGCAGACAGGGATGAGGCCAGAGCCTGCCGGGGCGGTCGTGAGGGGTGGGTGCGTCACTCACACTCCACCCTCGGACCCGTGCAGCACAGGCCGGCTGCATCCTTTCTGCTCCTACAGACGGAGACAAAGGATGTAACGGGTGAGAACGAAGCATAAAATTATACAAATGACGATGCGCGTGTGAGGCTTTTAACCGGAAAAAAGCAGAATGGATGCCTGTCCATTTCTCATCGTGGAGGCTGTGACCCCGAAGTCAGTCCTCGGTCACGTGTTCACCACGTGACATGAACCACGGTCGTTTGTGGCCCCCTCTGAACCCCGTATGCTGTGCTTTCCCCATTTGTAAATGATTTCTCATCTTACAAGTGATACACGTACCAGTGCTATTATGGAGAAATCAGGAAAAGGAGAAAAGTGAAAACAGTAAAACAAGCGTCGTGTTACCCACCACCCAGGGACCTGGGGACTGTTGTCCTTGATTCTTTGCCATATTTCTCTAGACTGTGTTATGGTCCATTGCCACAATGTACACCTTGCTTCAAAACAGAACTTTCCTAAACAAATGATGTTTTGAAGCTTGTTTTCTGACAAATCTGTGCTGAGCATGCTGGCCCGTCAAAATCACCTCGTCTCAAAGTCTGTTTAACCAGCACTGGCGTAACCGTGTTTTCCAGTGCTGTGATTTATGGGAAGTGTCTCTCACTGACTTGTGGCTGCATTGTTTGCTCTCCCAAATGATGCTCTGAGCACCTTTGGAACTCGCACCCTGCACACCCGTGGAGCAGTCCTTCAGGACACACTTCTGGAAGTGGAATGCTGTGTCTGATAGCGCACCCCTGGGTGCCGCCAAGCAGTGGGCTCTGCAGAAGGAGTTAAGCCCATAGGGCCTGGGCTCGCCCTCTGTGGGCTGGCCGAGCAGAGTCAGCAGGAGGGGGAGGGGTGGAGTGAGGGGTGGAGCCAGGCGTGCGCTGTGCTTCGCATCCCAGCTCCAGCATCCCCTGCCCTGGAGGACCAGTCTCTCCAACACTGTTTTCTCAGCCACAAATCTGTTGAGGACTGAGTGAGGTGAGCTTGCCAAGGTCATTATTACCATGGGTCCCGATGTCTGGGTAATGTAAGCTGTTATTATAAAACAGCACGGCCCATATAAAATAGGTTCGCATGTGTAAATAAGTGTGCATATGTGCACATATAACATACACACAAACACACGTGTAGATATGCAGACTTACAGAAAGGAAAATACCTACACAAAGTAAGGGCAGGCCTTCCCTGAGCATGTGGAGGAGACAAGATTTTCTCAAGCTGATCATCATTGTCAGGTGTCAGAAGATGCCTGCGAAGGGAACTGAGACTTACAGCATCGCCAGATGCACCAACCAGCTGGCCAGCCACCCGGCCAGGCCAACCGCAGTGCTGAGAGTTTTATGACCGATAGAATTTCTAATTTTATGTTTGATGCTTATCCAAATGTATCGTAATTATCTTGTTTGGTCAGATTTGTAGTGCTGCTGCTGTTGTTACTGAGAACTTTATAATTTAAAGAAGAAAGTGCCCATAGACTGACTTTAGAAGGCCTCTCCCAGGGTGGGGCGGCGGCGCCCAGGAGGGAGACACAGGCCCAAACTCAGAGCCGCAGGGCACTCACCACAGTGGGCCTTTCCTCCCTAAGCTGGAAACATCGCTTCATTCAGTCCCCCTGTTCTCGTTCCAGGAGGAAGATGAAGGCGCGCGCGCCCCCACCCCCTGGGAAGCCCACCACCCCGACTGTGCAGAGGGGACAGAGCCCTCATCGCAGTGCGTCCCCTGCCCGCCGGCAGAACCTGCTGCACCTGAAGGAGGACTTGCAGGACAGGGCGGTGGACCTGACCGTGGTGCTGCCCAGTGGGCTGGAGAAGAGGAGCGTGGTCAACGGGAGGTAAGGGCCTGGCGACCCTGCGGGGTCAGCCTGGGGACCACCCGGTCTGCCTCAGCTGGCTGGCCCTGCGAGCTCCCCTCAATCCTGAACCCAGAGAGCAGCACAGCACATGTCCCCAAGAGGAGTGCTTGACTCGGGCGGGGGGCGGGCACCCAGCCGCCAGTCTCTGCTGGCATCCCTGGCACTGAAGTTGCCGGGGCGCCTCCTGAATGAACTGCCCAAGTGTCCACTCATGGGCTGACCCACTGAGGGTTCATACACTGGCAACCTGCTCTCTAAAGTGAAGTTTAGACTAGGAAATAAAATCTTGCCCTGGCTGGTGTGGCTCAGTGGATTAAGTACTGGCCTGTGAACCAAGGAGTTGCTGGTTTGATTCCCAGTCAGGGCACTGGCCTGGATTGCAGGCCAGGTTTCCAGTAGGGAGCAGGTGAGAGACAACCACACATTGATATTTCTCTCCCCGTCTTTCTCCCACCCTTCCCCTCTCTCTAGAAATAAGTAAATAAATAAATATCTTTAAAAAAGAAAGTCTATTAAAAAGATCCGACCCACAGATTTTAAATGTAAGGAAATCGATATCCAGATTTGTGGGTTCCGCTGGTCCGGATGGGGACCACTTCCATTCTTAGATCCAGCCACGGGGGCCAGGAGCCTGGGCTCAGGGTCAAGGGCACGTCTTCTTCCCACAGCGGCACGCCTCCCTCTGGCCGAGCACTGCAAGTTTTATCCCCAGAGGAAGTTCTATGTGTACGTTCGCTATTCATCACGTTTTGCCATGACTGTGTTGTTTGATCGATTTTGTGTAGCTGCTACTGTCGTTACTGATAGCTTCATTACAAAAAACTTCAACAAACTCACAGGAAATGGAAATGGAAATGTCGATGCAGCTTTTATTGCAGTGGGTACGATGGAGGGTCAGCTGTGAGAACTTTCCGGCAGGACTGTCTGTTTACACCTGCTGAGGCAGGAGCAGCGCTGCTGGGGGGCAGGGAGCGCAGGGGTGATAGGAAACACTTCAATTTAAGGAGCAGCCTGTTCAGGCATTCCAAAAATGGACCGGGCAGGGGGACGGGGGGCATCCCGGACCCTGGGCATTGTATTTTTGTGAATGCACTGAACACAGTGATGCACCAGTTTTCTTTTAAATAGCAGTTTTTAGAGCATAGCTTCTACATGGTGAGTGGGGAAGGGCAGTGGTGCCTGGGAGCCCTCCGGAGGGGAGAAGGCCACTCTCTGAGTAATGGGCTGGTGGTCAGGTGCGATTTGGTCTGACTTACATTCTCACTTGAAGGGTACGTTTTTTAAAGATGATTCTTTTGGAGCAGTTTGGGGGGTCTTAGCGATGTTGAGAGGAACGCGCAGAGCTCCCAGTGCACAGCCTGCGCCCCACGCCCCGCCTCCCAGGGTGCCCCAAGGCGCTCCCTAGGCTATGAGCTTGCCTGTGCTGAGGTGGGCATGTTCTTTGCCAGACCCATCAGTTCACCGAAGGCGTCCTCACTGTCAGACGGTCATGCAGAGGGGACATCTCACACTGTGGGACCTGGATAAACTAACAACAAAGCAAGCCACTGATTCACTGAGCGAAATCCACATCGAACACCTGATGTGTGTGATGTGTGGGGGACGGGACACGGCGGCAAGTGGAAGTGGAGCAGGGCATGGAGTCTGCACAGCGACCTGTGTGTGCAGAAGGCCGGCAGGTCTGTGCTGGGGCCCGGCTTCTGGCAGCCACCCAGTCTCGGACCCGGAGCCCTGCCTCTGGCCAGGGACTCCCTGCCCCTGGGCATCTTCAGTCACCTGCATGTCCTCCCTCCTTCCTTCCATCCTGCCCGTGTGTGCCGCTGTGTGGGGCCCGTGGGCACTGACCACCTCAGGGAGGGCTCTCGCCCTGCCTCCCAGTCTCTCTGACATCACAGGACACCGCCCAATGGGACTTCCTCCCGCATCCTGCTGTGACTCTGTTACACGGTCTGCCTCACCCCAGCCTCAGGGCCGCCTGCTGGCCTCAGCCCCACACCAGGGACTAGGCCACGCTCAGCCTGGTCACGCCTCAACAGCGGGCACAGACTGGGAGTCAATTTTGACATCACATCCCAAAGTGGCTCTGTTTGGGCACTTTGCGAGGCAGGACAGAGGCACCCATCCATGCACTGAAGGCACGCGTCATAAACACTCCTTTCCTGCGGACTGAGCGAGCAGCAGTTTTCCATGTGGCCCCAGACAGCTGCGCTGCCCGAGAGCTAGTGAGAGACGCAAGCTCCCAGCCCAGTCCAGGTGTGAGGCAGCAGCCTGGGGTGGGGCCTTCAGTCTGTGCTGGAGCACACCTGGAATTTGGGGTGCCTGCTAGAGTTTGGGAACCCCGCTGCCGTGGGTGTCTAGGGCCTGACGCTGGCCCGGGGGCTGTGGGAATGCATAGTGCCGGCAGACTTTGTGACTTCGGTAAAAGGGCCGTCCACTGGACAGGGGCGAGGCCCTCAGCCACGGAAATCAGATTTGCCCTCTCCAGTGTCCCTGTCCCTTCTGTGAGGTCCCCAACAGCCCCTCACTGTCCCCTGGTCCTTAGTGCCCCTGTATTTGGAGAGCAGTGTGTAAGCACACTCGGCTCTGTCCAGCCCTCCACCAGGGTTTCAAAGAGAGCTTCGTGAGAAAAAAAAAAAAGGCCAGTTTGCTTCTTTCTGAAACCACTGACTCATGCAAAAACATGTAGAAGTCTCTACATATCTGGAAAGTAATGTGTTTTTTTTTAAGTAAAAAAATTTACTCACTTTTTAAATTAAAAAATAGAGACCACACAGATGATGACAATTAATTCCAAGTCTACATTCTGGGCACTTATAAGATGTTTGGGGAACAGAGATAAAGAAGTCAGAAAAGAAAAGACAGGAATAAATAAATAAATTTATTCAGCAAACTCTTTCATCAAATTTACAGACTGGCATTGTCCTAAGAAAGGCATACTTTCTTTAGGAAAGAAAGAGAAAGGAAAGAAGGAAAGAAAGAAGGGAGGGAGGGAGGGAGGGAGAGAGGGAGGGAGGGAGGAACAAGCTTTCATCTTCTTCAAGTTAAAATTTTCATGGTTTTTTTCCCAGATTTTATTTATTTATTTTTGGAGAGAGACAAGGAGGGAGAAAGGGAGAGAAACATTAATGTGTGGTTGCCTCTCATGTGCCCCCTACTGGGGACCTGGCCCTCAACCCAGGCATGTGCCCTGACTGGGATTCAAACCAGCAACCCTTTGGTTCTCAGGCTGGCACTCAATCCACTGAGCCACACCAGCCAGGGCAAAAATGACTGAATATCACAAATAACTAAAAATCCAACACCTCCTGCCCCTGAGTATAGCAGGTCCCCACATTACATCTTGTTCAGCTGTCATTTTGTTAAAACGTTGATGAGATGCTGTACTCTTGCTTATATCAATTAGCCTTTGGCAAAATTGGTCTGGTTGTATGTGGTGTCCCCTAGAAGTCGCAGAACCCACTGATGGGACCAAGTGAGGACTCAATGGCCCGGGTCGAGTACCAGCTCTGAGAATGCTAGGATGTGGCGGCGCCGTTGCCCCAAGGAATCCATGCGTGGCCGCCGTCTTTCCTGGGAACTTTGCTCATCCCCCCGCCGGCCTGCCCGTTCTCTCCCAGCCTGAGGGGAGGCTGCAGACCCTGCTGACCGCGCTCCGCCTCCCTTTGCAGCCACGCCATGATGGACCTCCTGGTGGAACTGTGCCTGCAGAACCACCTGAACCCGTCCCACCACGCCCTGGAGATCTGGTCTTCCGACTCCCAGCAGCCTCTGAGTTTTAAGCCAAACACTCTGGTGGGGACCCTGAATGTGCACACCGTGTTTCTGAAGGAGAAGGTTCCTGAAGAGAAGGTGAAGCCCAGCCCGCCCAAGATGCCCGAGGTCAGTAGGAGGGATCCCATGCAGCCCAGGGTGCACACAGACGCCTGCAGCCGCTGCGCTGCAGGTGCCGACGGGGAGTCCCCGCTGTCTCCCTGACACCTGCAGATGGCTGGGGAGGCGGGTGTACCCCCGTGCCAGGCACAGTCGGGCACTGGGTTTATTTTAGAAGGCCGAAGTTTCCGAAACCTAAGAATGTCCGTTGTTGTGACGTTGTTCCTCTGGAAACATCAGAAGGCGTGGCCTAGAGCACAGCCAGCCATTCTGGCTCCAGCAAAGGTGGACTCAGTCTATAGTTCCCACTTGCGAGGTGACAGCCACTCGTCACAGGCAGCCACTGAGCCGGTACAGCTAGTGTGACCGAAAAACTGAACTTGTAATTTATTTAAGTGCAAGTAACCACAGAGTCCACCCTACTGGACGAGGCCTCGAGGGTCCAATTTGGGTCTGGGCGTCTTCCTGACCCAGGAAGCAGGCAGGATGTGGATGTGAACATTTTATTAGCGATTGGGGGTCGGGGCAGAATTTTTCTTCTGAAAAATCGTGGTGAGAAATACTCATTACAATTGGAGAATATCTTATAATATACATAGATTTATTTCAGGCTTTTAATCATTGATCAAAATTAATCCCAGCCGCTTACTGCACTTTATAGTAAGCATTAGCTATGGTTCCTTAGGCCCAATTATGAGGAATGCTATTTCATTTGTTTAGATTCTTAGAATAGAAACAAAATGTTCCTGCTTTTAAAAATGGCAATTTAGCCCACAGTCCATGTCCTGTGAATTCTAGGTCCAGGCAGGTGACACATTTTAACCGACGCCATCTGCCCTCTGTGTGGAAATTTTCCCGAATTCTTCCAGTAAAGTCTGTGTTCTCGGCAGAGATACTCTGCTTACACTCTGTGGTTCCCTTTCCTTCCTGACCCCAGGCACAAACTCCTCAGGCAGGCGAGCCCAGGGCGGTGCGTGACCCCTGTTCCAGAAACACGGACGAGACCGTGTGCTCTCTGTTGCTTCCTCACAGTCGTCGGCCCCCTGCACTGAGAGTGCTCTGGGGTCTGTGATCGGCCTCCACATCTGCCCTGCTGGCCCTCAGCACCCTGGGGCAGCCAGGAAAGGCAGGCAGAGGGTGGCTACCTGAAGCCAGATTCAGTGTTTCGGATGGGCCATGCTGTGCACACTTCTGATCATTACAGAGCTGGTGTTCAAAAAAACCTGAAATGTTTATTAGCTTAAATTACATCTGTGTGTAGTGTGTGTATATGTGTAAACAGGTGTGTACACAGACTTACAGATTCACACTCTATATTTAATAGATATTTATACACTTAAGGGGATGTTTTGGTTTCTTAAACAAGACTTCGATGTCTTATCTGCTGAGGGTTTCCCTTTGCATGGAATTATACTTACAATACTTTCGAATGCTTTTGCTTTACGAAATGCACATACGTGCCTTGCGTTCGAGTGTAGTCGGAATTCTGGGAGGGCCCTGTGTGTGTTGGGTTTGAAACTGGGCCCCTCTCCCACGTCCACCTCCCTGTGTCCCTAGCGATTTGTTCATCAGTAAGAGACACTCCGAGGTAAGTTTACTGTTCCAGGCGTCTATCGGCCGCTGTCCTGTGTGCCGTTTCCCCACAACCCGCTGAGTTGGTGGGAGAAAGGTTCAGCCCACCCGGAACCTTGCCCAACCCAGTCCCGGTGTAAAAACGGAGGGTGGAGCCGTCGGGAGGACGTGCTCACGGTGTTCTCTGGTCCTCTGTGTCCTTCCAGAAGTCCGTGCGTCTGGTTGTGAACTACCTGCGGACGCAGAAGGCCGTGGTGCGTGTGAGCCCTGAGGTGCCGCTGCGGAGCATCCTCCCGGTCATCTGCGCCAAGTGCGACGTGCGCCCGGAGCACGTGGTGCTGCTCAGGGACAACGTCGCGGGGGAGGAGCTGGAGCTGTCCAAGTCCCTGAACGAGCTGGGCATAAAGGAGCTCTACGCCTGGGACAACAAGAGAGGTGGGTGCCGCCCGGGCTGGGCCCGGCCGCTGGGCCGTGGGAGCATCCGCCCGATGCGCCAAGGTTGCAGGTCCATCCCCGGTCAGGGCACGTGCAAGACCCAACCAGTGAGCGCATCAGTAAGCGCAACAACAAAATGATGGTTCTCCTCTCTCCCAAGTCAATGAATAATTTTCCTAATAAAGAGAGAGAGGTGAGTGCCTGCCCCTGAGAACACATGGGGAGCATGGTCTGCACCCCTTAGCACAATGCTCTGCACACCAGCTGGGCAGGTACGTGAACTCGCAGGCAACTCAAGTTGTGTCCAAACCAGGGTTGAAGTAGGCAGGAGACAGACCAAACTTGCTTTCGTGCCCTGGTTGCAATTCTGCCTCTGGCCCCCTGTCCTGAGCGCGCCCGGTCCCCTGTCCCCCTGGAGCTACGGTGGGATCAGGGGGAGGGACAGGAGGCAGGCAGGAGCTCCCCTCTACAGGAGCTTCCCAGACCCCACCCGTGAACCGTGCCCTCCTGCGTTTTCTCTCCAGCGCCCTCTGACTGCCCGAGTCTCAGACATCGCTCCTAGCCACAGCCAGTGACAAAAACACATCCAGACAGTCCCTAAAACTGCCCAAATGACCACTCAGTCCCTCAAGACAACTCGGGGTGCCTGTTCCCCATCAGTGCTGCAGACACCTCAGTCCTCGTGTGAACATGCCCCATGGCCGGAGGTCACAGTTAGAGCCGGCAGGAGCGTGGCAGCTGGCGAGCCCAGGGTTGGCGCAGGGATGGACATGCTGTGTGAGCCGGTTTCTCTGGCCGGTTCAAAGGGCCGACTCTCCGAACAGCGGTCAGCACGTTTTGCCTCCCCTCCCCGCCCCCCCCACACACAATTTAGTGTTGTCTGACTCTGGAATTGTTAAAGTGAACTTCACAGAAGTGTCTAGTTTCATGAGCCACACTTGGCATCATTATTGGTTGCCTTTTTATTTATTTCATACATATTGAACAGGTTGGGTTTAAAAATAGAGACGTATTCAAGTTTTTTAAGTTTTTCTACAGCTTTTTTTTGAAATTCTTATAATCAAATAATTGCTTTTTAATTATGGAACTTATTGTGAAATCAGTGACCATAGTGGGACCACTGCCTCCCCCAAACCTGCCCCTGGAGGTTGGGGAACCCAGGTGGCACTTGATGTTCGAGAAAGGGTCACAGGTCAGTCGAGTGTAAGATGCTAGGCCTGTTTATTCCCTCATAACGAGTGATAGCAGTGTCCTGAGGCTGAGAACACCGCATCTTCATATTCAGTCACGATTACTCTCAGTATCCCCCACTCGGGCCTGGAAATGGCGGGTCTGTCCGGTTTTATCTGCGCGATTTAAATTGGGTTTCTGGGAAACTTTGGGAATAACACTTACTTGGCAAGACGAAGAAAAACCGTCCCACCTTGGTGCGCGTGGAAGATAAAGCCTTACACAAACACGTATTTCAGTTTCGTGACATTCACAGGTATATCTTGAAAGGTAGACACAGAACCTATTACCTGGGAACCGTCATATAAAACCAGCCTCTCCACTCAGGGGTACAGCCCAGCAAGCCAGTGGCATCTGGAGCAGGGGGCTGAGTGTCCATCTGGGAAACCTGTCCCATGCGGGGAGGACACCCGGAGCAAACACCCTGGCTGCTCGGATTTGTCATCACTTCTGAGTCGGGGAAATAGCCTTGCCCATGCCCCTGAGTCCCCCCATGCCCAAGGTGTCCCTTGGGCACCTCTGAGGGACCTTCCCTCCTGGGGTCCCAGCAGCCTCCCTGTAGAATAAGGGTGACAACTAGCATGGTGGGGGGGGGCGTTCCAGCCCAAGGGCCCAGGCCCCTTTCATCGGGGCCAGACCACACTCCGCCCTGTGCATGCTGGCTGAGAAATGTTCGATGACCATCCCTGACCAAGGCCTCCACCTGCCCTGAGGACAGTCAAGTGTCTAAGCAGAAAAGAGAACATTCCAGAGCCGTCCCCCAGGAGCCCCCTCCTTTGCCCCTCTGGCTCTGTCCCCTCCCAGCCAGCAGCTGCAAGATATGTCCCTGGACATTGGCTTCCACTGCAGGAACCCCTGGCCCTGGTAGAAGCAGAGGACTCTGCTGCCACCTGCTTCTGTGGTGGCACTTGGCAGCCAGCAGCTGCAGGCTCTGGGGCTCCGGGCCAGGAATGCCAGCCTGCTCTGCACTTGGCCCCCTCCTAAGGAGGACCAACAGCCCCCCCGCCAAGGCTGCTGGAGAGCCCAGCCCAGCCAGGGGCGGGAGAGGGCCTCCCCACACCCTCACTCTCTCCCCACCTGCCTTTTCCAGTTCTTCTGAGCAAAACTCAGTCGGAGCCTTCCCTGAGCTGTCGAGGTACAGGTACGGTGAGCCCCAGCTGCCCCTGCTGGGCTGCGGCCTGCATGGCTGGGAGCCGGGGCGACAGACACGTGGGTGCCTGTGGGCAGCGGGGGGGTGTCAGTGTGGCAGCTCTGGGGAAGGCTTGCGGCTCACCTGAGGTTGCGGTTTGGTTTCTCAGCTTTCTGCTGGGCTAAGAAAAGAATGTCCCCTGAGGGAGGATTTGCTGTGTGGTGCTGGCGGGTGACAAAGGAGGCTGTTGTGGAAAATGGCTCATGTGAAGAATCCCAAGCAGAGCCCAAGCCGGATCTATGTGGAAGAGGCAGCATTTTTTCTTACCTGTGCTCACCTGTGCTCACCTGTGCCTGCCTGTGCTCATCTGTCTTGCCATCCATCCTGCATGCTGCAGAATTTAGGCCAGTGTGGTGTGTGACATTTCACCTTTGCAGTCCTAGACACGTATGAAAATGATGAGTCTGGATTTTGCATTTATTCTGATACCTATTTCTTATAAACTCTATATACACACAGATACATAGATATTTGTAAGTGCACACACATACATAAGCATGCACACACGTACATGTTCATATTTTAATGAAAGTTTTGGCATACACACACACACACAGGAAGGTCCTGAAAATCCTAATGAGGTTTTGTATTTTACAAAAACTTCTGTTCTCATGAAAGTGTCAAATGCTAGATTTCATTTCTAGAAAAAGAGACTAGTGCAGGGACACCTGGCACTGGCCTGGCACCAGTGTGGGGTGTGGCATGTGGCTGCGGTGCCGTCCTGAGGGGTGGTGGCCGGCCACTGTCACTGTCTCAGGGGAGACACCAGGGGTTTTATCTCGTGGCAGGTTTCTGACCCCCCTGTCATTTTACGGGTGGTGTCCTAGCCTGAGTGTCAGGCACATGCTCTCCTGGGCTTACCTGTTGGGGACCGCAGGGTCACACACTCACCCCACCCATGTCACACGTTGTCAGTGTGGACAGAGGCCGGACGCACATGCACATACCCAGGCTTGCTGTGGCCGACACGGCTGTGCTCTGCGGTACAGCACGCTCTCGTTTTACCTTCCCAGCCCTGTGCCTATGGGGGCTTTGATGAGACTCACTGTGAAATCCGCGTGCACACATGCACACACATAGGTGCCCGCCTGCTGGTGTGGACGTGTGTGATGTGAGGCTGCAGACGGGCTCAGCCCCCGGCCCAGAGCCCTGGAGCTCATGACTAAACCCGAGGCTTTGCTGCGTGCAGAATGATCTCATGACCGTGTGTACCTGGGGCTGCGTGCTGGGGCGGAGGCGTTGGTGTGCATGCCGTGTTACTGACACACTGACCTCATGTCTGCCTCTGACTGGACATTGAGTCCTGGCCAGCACCCAGGAACAGCGACTGATGTTTCGGTGGCAGACTTTGCCCGGCCCAGCCCCGGCGTCCAGCAGCGGACAGCGGTGTGGGGGTGTCCTGTGTCTGTCCCTCAGGGACACCTACGTTTCCTCCTCTCACTGCGTCCACGTGGCTCAGGGGAGAAAAATGGGATGAATTGGGGGCAGAAGCGTGGGCTGGCCCCTGGTATGTCCACACACCAGCACAGGATGCTGGTCAACCGTCGAGCGGTGCAGGGGTGCAGGCCGGTTCGAATTCCCACCCCCATCCGCAGATGAAAACGCTGAGGCCCAGGGCACTGGAGCAGGCTGCCCGAGCTGCCCTCGCCACAGTGCCCACCCCTCCACACCCCTGGCCCTCAGTGTTTTCTGGGCCCCCTGATGTGTCCCCAGGGGGTGGGCTGGTTGAATGCCTGGTGCTGGCTCAGTCCCAAAGTTGCTGACTCGGGGATCAGGTCTGGGCCCAGTTCCTGGGCTGCTGATGCTGCCGTCTCTCCTCGTCCCAGGAACCACAGGCCTCTGCTGTGTGGTCACCTGTCTGATTGGGGCTACATGTCCCTGTTGGCGGCACAAGGGTGCCCGGTGTGAAGTCCTGCTGGCTTCCAGCACAGGGAATGTATCAGGAACATTGTGACAGCTGCCTGTGGGGCCGGGTGGGGGCCGGGAACATCCGGGACCACTCCGGTACGGCCATGACTGCCTAACCCCTGTGCTGTGCCCCTGGAAACAATACAGAAGAGTGCTGAATGTCAACTGTAATTGAAAAATACAGAATTAATAGTGAACAACCCCCCAATAATACAATAGTGAAACAGTGATGAAAAATAGAATCCCGATGAAGAAGGACAAGGTTGAGCATTTAGAACTCAGGAATTAAAAGAAAGAAAAAAGACTAGAAGAGGAAATGCGCCCCCTAGAGGCTGTCACTAGAAAGGAAAACAGGCTGGCTGGGCAAATGGGAGAAAATGGGGGCATGTGACCACACCCTGAGAATAAAATGCCCCAGAGCCCACTAGAGAGCGTGAGACCCTGTAGCGATTTCATAAATAGGAACTGGGGGCCTTGCAGGGGCTCCAGATGCTTTCAAAGAAATATGAAAGTGGTTTCACTCTAATAAGAACTAAAAGTTTGAGAGCAGAGAATATATTTTTTGAGATTTTAACCTGAAGTCCTGAAGTGCTTAATCTCTTGTGCTGAAAAATAACTTGGTGTCTCTGCCCCCAGAAACCTTTAGAAAAGCATCCCTTGGCAATGACGAGATGGATAAGGAGAAGAAGAAGTTCCTCGGATTCTTCAAAGTCAGTAAAAGGAACCACGGCAGCAAGGTAAGGCCACTGCGTCACCCGAAATAAGTATGTGTCTGTATGTGTTGTATGTGCATGTGTTGTGTGTCTGTGTGTTGTGTGTCTATGGAATCTCAGTGGAGACTACACTTTGAGGGGCTGCATTTTGGTTGAAGGAGATGGCAGCAGATATCCTTTCTTGTTTTAAAACTTCAGTTCTTTAGTGTTTTTAAAACAGTAATTTTGTGTCATTTTGGCATTTATTCTGCTGGCCCAGTCGTTCCCAAAACGCCTTAGGCACCTTAAGACAGTTGGAGTCCCAGGTCATGTCCCCAGAGATGCTAATTTGGGAAATCGGGTGGGGCCCCGGAGCCGGTTTTCCTGCTGAACCAGGCAATCCTGGGCCACTGGTCCACACACGTGCTCAGTTATTCCTGTGTACACCCAAGCGACGCTCAGCATAACGCTAAACTGAGTTTACACCTCACCAGCCCTGCTAGCTCCCTAGCTGGTTTTCCGAGCTAACTCCATCACTCAGGTGCACCACTGTCCCAGTTCACCTGTTTTCTGAGCGAAGGAGAAGGAATCTCAGCGCCCTGAGTTGGGGGGTTCAGAGCTCTGGGCTCTGGCCAGCCAGGTTCACAAGCAAGAGATATGGCTGTGGATTGAAACTACTTAGTGGGACTTGGCAGCCCAGCCGTGAGGACAGGCGGACACACAGCCACTGCGCCTGAATGTTTGCTTGTTTGTGCCCACTCTCACCTGGAGGTGACATGTGCTGTGCCCCTCTTCCAGGTGGAGCCCCCTGGGCTGGGGGGAGCAGACAGCGACGAGGACGCCTCGAGGTCAGCGCCAGGCCGGGGCTCGAACGTGAGTACCACACCACAGGCGCCCCTCGCGAATGGGCAGAGCTGAGCGATGCTTTGCACATCCTCCCACAGAGTGGAAGTATGGGTTACTTTGTATTGGGGGTGTCTGGGTGTTTGTTTGTTTCTCAGTCTAGAGAAGCACCAAGCTGCGTTTGGGTTCACGTTTTGTTGCCTGTGCCACCTTTGGCAGACACGGAGTGTTGTAGTTTCTACTTCCCCCGCTGCACCAGGCAGCGTGACAGGGAGATTCAGTGGTTACACTGACCGACCTTACTTACGCTCCCCTGACTGAGTTCTCTCCACGACCGGGCGCAGCTGTCGGCTTTGCAGACATGCCGCCAGGCCTGGGTCCACCCGCTCCTAGTTCTGCAGCTACCCCCTGAGATGACATCATAAAGCCACCTGGGCCCTCACACCTCAGAGTTGGCATGTGGAAAGGTTCTTCATCATTTCAAATTCTTGAAATGAAATAATTTATAGCCTCTTGAAAATATTGATCTTTAAAATGTATCTGACAAAAGTTGATTCTTACTGTCACTTTTTACATGTTGCAAAGACCAACTCATTTGTAACAGTGAGGAATTTTCCTGATTGTTCTTTTTCTGGGTTTCACATTTTCATGCCAGCCCCCATGTGAACCTTTATTCCATTCAGAAGAGTTTTATGCCTGAAACTTCTTTGATCAAAACTTGAAATGATAAAAAGTTGAAATGAAATGTGATAGAAAATTTAAATGTCTATCTCAATTTCGTTTTTAATTTCATGTGATCATGTAAAGCAAATTTCATAATTTTAGCTGCTCCAGTCCCAAGTAGACGCTGAAGAACTGGAAAGTGCGTTGAGTCAGGTCTGCCACCAGAGGGCAGTATCTTCCCAGGCATAGGGAGTCGCAGCCACTCCTCCTTCCTGGCCTGGAGAACCTACTAAAATTCCTTGTTCTTAAAATGTTCACAAGTAACAACAACAAAAAAGTGTCCTGAGGGCCAAGCCGCATGTTTGTGATGTAGAACTGATTTTTACTATAAATCAATACTGACAAAAAATTTAAAAGTGTAGCTTGGACCTTTCTAAAGTGCTTTATGTTCGACCATGTAACATAAATGGAAGATGGAGCATTTTCAGAGCAGATGCCTGCAGCCCAGCAGAGGTCCTGGCCACCCCTGGTCTGCACAGAGCCGGCTTTTCTCTCAGGTGGCACTGTGCCGGCTGCAGTTTGCTCTGGCGCACGAGGTTACTTATTTTTCAAGTTGAGTATCTTCCATGAACTGGGCACAGCGCAGGTCTGTTTGGTTCGTGGTCAGCGCCTCATGGAGCCGCGTGCCCTCTGCCCCGCGACTCCTCGCTCCTCTTCTCTGGTGTCATGAACAATAAGAGGGCCCCTTGGCCCCCAAAGCCCTTTTCCGTTTGGGGGGGGGTTCCTCTTGAAAGAGACTTCAAAGGCATTGGGGAATCAAAATCAGACCATGGGAAGGAATACAGAGCCTAAAATGTAATTCAGAGACATGGTCCTTAGGTGCTCAGCTTACCTGTTTGCCCATCAAATGTAGTTTTTAAAGTTTCCATGTTACACACTCGGTAAAGCAATTCTGAAAACTGTCAAAGAAGGTTGTGTTTGTGAAACTTCAGCAAGGTGGGTTTTTCCCAAAGCATTCAATTCTTAGAGCGAGAATGTCACTTAGGTACATAGATAGGAAGGTAGGTAGGTGGGAAGGTAGGTAGGAGGGTAGGAAAGTAGGTACATAGGTTAGGTATGTAGGTACGTAGGTAGGTAAGTAGGTAGGCAGATAGGTAGGTTCGTAGGTACATAGTTGGGTAAGTAGGCGGGTAGGAAGGTAGGTGGCTAGGTAGACAGCAGAGGAGGGTGCAATGACAAGTCACAGAGGGACCCACTGTCACGGACGCTCTGCGCGGGACATGCAGGTGCTGGGGGCACCATGGATACAGAGGAGTGGGCCACACCCTTCATGTGTGTGCACAGGGAGCACCTGGCAGGTGCCACTCTGACCCCAGGGGCCTGGGCCTCTGGGTCTTGTGAGAATTCAGATGCAGGGGCCTGGTCGGGGGCTGCACTTCTAAGGAGAGCCCAGGTGAGGCTGCGGGAACCAAGGCAGGTGCCCTGCTGAAGCCTAGAGACAGACAGACTCACAGATGCCCTGGGTGTGAGGCAGGCAGCAGCCTGGGCAGGAAGATGAGGAGGGTCTAGGCAGGGCAGGCTCAGCCCGGACCCAGCCTGCAGTCAGTCCTGGAGGTGGCCAGATGTGCCTGGTGCTGGGAGCAGCTCCAGCAGAGGGGACATCTCAGCCTCCCAGGGTTTTCTGATCATGTGTGTGTGTGGGGGAGGTACACATGTGTGCCTGCCTATCAAGGGCAGTTTTTAACGACTAGAAACATGTACATCCAGAAAGAGACCACAAACAACTTACTGGTTCTCCATCTTTCTCACTGTCACCTCTGTCCTGGGTGACAAGGGCCAGAGCTCCCTGCGCGTCTCACAGCCAGAACCATGCCCCTCCACCCGGCTGAGGGTGTTTGCTGCCCCAGATGACAGAGCCTGGGTCTGTAATTACACCCCAAGAGTCACTCTTCCAAATGATGCCCTTTAATAAAGCCCCACACGGGGATGCTTCCAGTGGCCAGGTGACCCCTGGGGAGCTGGTGTCTCTTTGCAGAGGGGACGCTGAGAGCAGTTCTCTGGGCCACCAGGGAGCTCGGTGCTTAGCTGCAGGCTGAGGGACTTCAATAAATTCAGGCAAGAACTGCCGTGAGGACATTCCCAGGAGATAAAAGAGGAAGGAAAACCAAGATCAATCAAAAGGTAAAGGAATAGTCTTGCCTCCTTGGCTTAAAAACATATTTATGTGCTGTAGTGTATGGATGTCAGTTTTTTGGTTGAATATAAGAATACTTGTTTAGTGGCATTTTCTTCGTGGATTGTCTTTGGTATTTGTTTTCTTTCAGCAAAATGGATTTCTGTCTTCCGTGGTCCACATGATTTTCTAGGCTTGTAGCAGGAAATTGAGCAAACCATCAAAGCAGGTGATGGGGAAGCTTATTCTTTTGGGAATACCCAGATGTACAGAAAAAGACCATGGGTCTCACTTGCATTTGACTTTTCCTGACATGCCTTTCTCGGTGCCACGTGAGTCCCGTGCGGGCACACGGAAGCAGGCAGATGTGACTGTTGGCATTTCCGATGCTGATGACCCAGGCCTTCGTCCAGGTGTCATTCTGGTGGGACCCAGCACAGAGTCCAAGTGGCTCATGGCCTGTGACGGCGATGTATCGCTGGGCAGATGTAACATCCATTAGGTCAAACACCCACCAGTGGAGCCACTCTGACACATGCCTCCCTGAGTCCCGGCTTCCGAGCGTCCTCAGTGTGAGAGGGTGGGTCAAAGTCTGTAGCAACTGACCCAGAAATCGACCTGCAGGTGCAGCCTTTTTATGGCCAACTAAAGCTAGCCACTCGTACTTTCCCAAAAACCATGCATTTGGTGACTCTGGCATGAGTTTTTCTCACACTCTTTCCAGTCCTCTGAGCCGATTCAGCTGTGCCAACCTGTCCGCCGTGTCCAGGGCAAGAATGACTTTATTCTGTCCTCATTATTATTCATGTCACAGTTATTACATTTTCTCTACTGGACCCCCAGCACCGCACATGCAGAACCTGAGGGGGGCGCCCGTGAGCCCATTGCCTGAATCAGGCCCCTGCAAGGTGACTTCCGTTTGGTGTGTTGGTGATACTCTGTGTCCTGCACTGAAGCCAGACATTTCCTTGAAGTGAAGTCAGGCTACATGCGGGAAAAAGGGAATTGCTGATGTTGAGGCAGGACGCTCAACAGGGAGAGGCCCGACACTCCCTCTGTGAACAGAGACACCAAATAAAACCTCACGGCAGCGATAGAAGGGAGTGTTTCAGAATAGGAGGCGGGGTTCCAAGGTCTGGGAGGCAGTGGGGGTGGCAGTGCCGCTTCCTCTCCTTGACTGCGGGTCAAGGACCGGGTGGCCTGGGGGTGAGCCGGGGGCCAGACACTAATGACATCCCCTGGCCCAACCCTGGAGGCTGTGACAGGCACTCACTCTCAGAGAGGAGGGATGGCAATAGAATCACCAATAAAATACTAACGGATATGGGTAAATTAATTTTTTACTAAGTGTAAACCTTCTAATTAAATTTAAAATTTTACACATACATCTTGGCATACCCATATAACAAATACTTATTCTACTGATTTAAAATTTATTTGCTACATGACTTGTAACTCTACATAATTATCAGCCATAGCACTTAAAGGGCGGCAATAAAACGAAGTCAGCAGTGCCATGTTATTAAGAAGCCAGCCCTCGAACTCTTGGGTGCACTTCTGTCTCACGCTGGCAATGGGCTGAGAGAAGGCAGCATTCTCTCGGCTGCGGGCCTCTCCCCCAAGACAGCCCTCGTTAGATGACAAGTCTGCAGTCCCCTGTGGCAGCTGGGACTCCCCATCCCCAAGAGGATGAGCAGTAAAGTCCCCTGTGAAGACCCGAAGTCCCTACCGGCTGGGGAGGTAGGTGGGCTTTGGCCCTGGGTAAACAGGGAGCCTGCCCCTGGGGCAGGGTGGGTTCAGTTCCAGGGTGGTCTGTGTTCTGAGGATCCCTGGGTGGCCCCCCAAGACACCTGTGCTAGGACACCGGAGAGGTCCCACATCAGGCATGAAATGCAAATGCCCCAAGCCCAGGGCTGCCCCACCAGCCCGCCAGCCACAGGCAGATGGCAGGACGAGGGGGAGGGGGCACTGTCTGGGCACACCCGTCCTGCAGCTCCTGTGTGCGGGGAAGCTGATTTGCATTTGGAGACCGCACCCACCTCAGCCAGCTCCTCCTGGCACCTGGAAACCCAGGCTGCGATTCAGGAAGCAAAGGTGCCCTCCTGGTGATGGGTGTCACCCAACGAAAGGCCACATGGGGACCTTGGAAAAGTTAATTAAGGGGTTCATCACCCATTTTCTCCTTGTGCTTTTGGTTTGGTGAGTGTGCTGAGAGATTCTGGGCCAAGGCAGTTCCATAAAAAGGCAGACAGCCTGTGAACCTACCTGCAGGGAGGGACTCCTCAGGCCCGAGAGGGGAGGGAAGGAACCTAGGTGCCAACCTGTTACCTGAACACTCAGGCATACGGGGCGGGGGCGGGGGAAATCTGCTGCTCTTCAACAAGCCACAGCCTTTCCTGGTCATGCAGAGCACAATTTAGTTTGACTTGAACTTCACACGGTCCCACATTTTCAGTTCTGTCCCAGCAATTACCGGGGCACTGCCCCTAATAGCCTGTCCCAAAATGTGCTTCCTCTGGCCTCTCAGTGTTGTTATTACAGGTTGTATTATTTATTCTGTATTTTAGTTCAGCCTTTCCCATAATGCTTCTTACATCCTTATGATGTGGGGGTAGATGAAACCCCTCCCCTGTGCCATGTGCATGGAAGAGCAGGACTTTTGGAGAGGAGTGTATTTTGTCCTGAGATTAGATGATGTGTGACTTAGAGGTGGCCGTCACCCACATCGGGTCACGGCAGTGCAGGCACACCTGTGCTAATACGCGGACACAGGCCACTGGTGAGCAGGTGGAGGGGCCACCCGCAGGTCGCCAGGGTGCGCGTGAGCCGAGCCCGCCAGTCCCTTCCTGCGCCTGGAGAAGGGGCACTGTCCTGCTGAGAAGGGAACCACGGCGTGTCCCCATACCTTGTTCTCAGCTGGTGGCCTTTCAGTTTGTGTTCCCGCGTTTGCTCCCTTGATTCTTTGACAAACCATTAAAAAAAGTACTGAATTCTTTCGACAGAGGGCAGCATGGGGCAAGGAGAGGAAGGACTCAGAGGCAGCCCAGACTGGGGGGAGTTTCCTTCAGTCCTGGGAGCTGCCGGCCGGGCTGAGACCCTTGTCCCTCCGCTCCTGGGAAAACTGAGTTAGACGGTTCATATCCACTGCAGAGTGTGCACGCGATTTTCAATCGGTTTGATGGAGAAAAATAACTTTTTTGAAAGCATTTCAGTTTCCGTCTTTCATATTTACTTCCATTTCCATTTGTAATGATGTTATGTTTAAATTTTGCCCCCTCGGGGGCAATAACCATTGAAAAGTCTTCTATTCCATTCATTTCCGTGGAACACAGTTATTGGAAGATGATTGTTTTAGTGACCAAATGTAAATGAAAGCCCAAAATAAGCATGTTATCAATCAAAAGGAAGCTCTAGAGTCGCCCCACCCTAGCAGTATCTGACCGAGCTTTGGAGGACCTGGGCGGAGTGGGTTCTCGACGGCTGCTGTAGGCTATCCTTAGGGCGACCAAAGCAGTTCCCTTCATCCGTAAGCAGCAAACACACGTCCAAGTCCCTCACCGGCCACCTCTGAAGGTCACGGGGACCTGGTAGACTGGCTCACGTGACTGGTTCTCACACAGCAGCATCTGCCTGGCCAGAGTGGACAGTTTAAGAAATGGGGGCAAGATCACTCCCCACCCTTGCTTTTTGGGGGTCAGTTTATCTTGAACAGAAGGGTTGCAAGCACAGCATGTCCCATTTGTCTCCAGAAGCATGTTCTGGTGGGAGTCTGGCTTCCCCACCCCCACCCATTCCGGATAAGGCTCCCTCCCCAGGCCGTGTGGCGTAGTGCGTGCTCTTATGACTGTGCAGACGTGCGTGAGCACACACATGGCCGTGGGCTCCCACGGAAGAGCAACGCTCACCTTGGTCCCCAATATGAGACATCCCCGCAGCAAGGTCCTGCCCGTGTGTGCCTGGCGGGGGCTGCCCGGGAGAACTGAGGCCAGTTCTGCCCCTCAAGGAGGGGAAAGGCCAAGACGTCAGAATGCCACGAAGGCAGGGGAGCTGCGGAATCCAACCCAACCCCCCCGGAAACAGCCTGAGGAGTCTTTCAAAGGGCGTTCTGCACAGGTCTTCAGAGACCATGCAGGACACTCAGAGGGCTGAGCAAGTGTCAGGCACACAGAGCCGTCGGGTGCAGGTTGGAACAGAAGCAGTTAGCGTCAGGGTTGGGAAGAGCACTGTCAGGATCAGCATGCTTACAGGGGTCCCGGAGCGGGCCTGGTGGACATCCGAGACAGCAACGGCTATGCGGGCAGGCGTGGTGTGCGCTCCTCCCTGGTGTTTCACAAGCTTGAACAAACCTCGGCATCTTCTGTCCGCCTCCCCTTTGTGTGTGGAACCAGGGGAGGTGAGTGAGCCATCCATCCGGGGAAACTGCTACGCCCCTCCAGACCCCGGCTGTCCCTCCTCTGGTCCCTGGTTTATGCGGTAGCCCTGAGATCTGCCTCCTTGGGTCCTCATGGCTGTTCTGGAGAGGGGCGGAAGGCAGAGTATTTGACAGAGTTTACTTTGCGGTGACCGGTTCGCTGCGTCACGGGCCTGTTGTCTGAAGAACTGACAGCTGGGGAAAACATTTATGCTTTTTCTTTACTCTTTTCCATGGGAGCCCAGGTGGGCGTGGATGAATTTCCTGGGTGTGGGGCTACTTCCTGTAGGTCCTCACCTGTTTCTTTCAGGAGCTTGCAGTTGGTGAACAAGGTGCTGGACACCTGGGCTGCCCAGTGTCTCCCAAGGAAGCTGGACCTGGCCTGCTCGGCCTCCTTCGGGGCCCTGCTGGGCGGGACAGTGGTTGGGGTGGAGAGAAGGTGCGCCAGGCGGTGCTAGGCTCGGTCTTGTTTTCCATTCAGAACTGGAGGGCAGGTTCTTTAAATGCTCCTTCTGCATAAACCCTTCCTCTCGCTAAGCAGATCCTCAGGTGAGGATCTAAAAGATAAAATAAAAAGTGTGGTTTTGTTCATTTTCAAGAACAAATGCGATGCTTGTCTTTCTCTGACTGACTTATTTCACTAAGTACAATACCCTGTAGGGCCATCTATTCTTTTTCACGGCCAAGTAAGAGTCCATTGTGTAAAGGTGCCTCAGCTTTGCTGTCCACTCGTCTGCTGATGGGCACTGGGCTGCTTTCCAGTCTCACAGCAGGAGTCTGTCCTGTGGCATCTTCTGCGATGGTTTTCCCAGGGAAATGAAAATGCGGGTTTTGCCCAGGCTGGCCAAGCCTGCCTGCCCATGGACAGACTAGGGCGGCCGGCAGGCGTGGTGTTTGGGACGGAGCATCCACAGAGAAAGGGTGTGTCCAGTGATGACACATATCTGTCCCTCCCCTAACAGGGCTGTTTGACGACACCCAGCTCCCCTTCCGTGAACTCCCGCTCCGTCACTCTGGGCCCGTCCCTCTCGCTGAGCAACATCTCAGGCCTGTCTGTCAAGTCGGACGTGAAGAAGCGCCGGGCCCCTCCTCCTCCGTCCCTGCCTGGCTCCGGGCCACCGGTACAAGACAAGGCATCAGAAAAGGTAGGGGAAGGGCAGCTCTTGGGACAAGTTGTTTTTTTTTTAAAGAAGTACATCAAGATTTTTTTAATTGTCCTGTAACTTCAAGGGGTATCTGATCTTTTTATGATGCATTTTTTTATTACGTATTGGTTTCAGGTGTATGCTTAGTGGTTAGACAATTGAATCCTTTAGATAGTGTTCCCCTCAATCTTTCCAGTAGCCACCTGGCCTCACACATAGTAATGAGGGTATTATTGACTGTGTTCCCTGTGCTGCACTTGACATCCCTGTAACTATCTTGTAACTACAATTGGTACTTCGTAGTCCCCTCGCCATTCCATCCAGCCCCCCACCCCTCCCTCCTGCAGCCATCTGTCTATTCTCTGTGTCTACGAGTCTGTTTCTGTTTTGTTTGTGCGTTTATTTGTTCTTTAAATTACACATATAAGTGAAGTCATATGGTGTTTGTTCTTCTCTGATCAACTTATTTCACTATATTATAATACCCTCCAGGTCCATCCATGCTATCATAAAGGGTAATATTTTTATCCTTTTTCACAGGCAATTAATATTCCATTGTGTGTGTGTAATACAGCTTTCTTATCCACTCGTCTACTGATGGACACTTGGGCTGCCTCCAAATCTCGGCTATTGTAAATAAGACTGCCATGAATATAAGGGTACATAGATTCCTTGAAATCGATATTTCAGATTTTGAATGTATTCAGATCTTTGGATGTATTCCCAGAAGTGGAATTACTGGGTCATAAAGCTGTTCCATTTTCTATTTTTTGGCATAACGGCTGTCCCAGTCTGCATTCCCAGCAGCAGTATGCCAGACTCCACTTTCTCCGCATCCTCGCCGACACGTGTTCTTTGTGGATTTATTGACAGTAGCCATTCTGGCAGGTGTGAGGTGACATCTCACTGTGGCTTTAATTCACGTCTCTGATGATTAGTGGCGTTGCACATCTTTTCATGTGTCTGTCGGTCACCTCTGTGTCCTCTTTGGAGAAGTGTCTCTTCAGGTCCTTTGCCCATTTTTTAATTGGGTTGGTTTTTCTTTGGTGTTGAGGGGGTATGAATTGTTTATAAATTTGGGATATAAATTCTTTATCAGAGGTTATCATTGGCGAGTATGTTCTCCCACTTAGTAGCTTGCCTCTTCGTCTTGGGGATGGTTTCCTTTGCTGTGCAAAACCGTTCTGTTTGCTGCCACTTCATTTGTTTATCTTCCTTTTGTTCCCTTGCCTGAGGAAACATAGCAGACAAAGTATCTTTACATGAACCAGCGAAATCCTGGGCCTTCTCGGGTGCGCTGCAATCTTGCCAGGCTGTGGCTTTGCCTAGGAGAGTGTTTAGGACGCATGTTTAACCTTTATCTAGACGTGGAGGTGAGATGCCACCCTGCTTTGTTTACAGGGGGTAGGAAACTAATTTTGTGTCGGTATGTATTCCTTCCAGTCCCATGCTTGTCGGTCAACATCAGTCCTATGCTTGTTGCTCATCATTTTATTTGGAGCATTGACATTTTGGGCATCATTATGATTGCTTCCTGAGGAAATGGCGCAGTAAGGACGTGGTGAGACACCTGGACTTGAAGAGATAGGGGGGCCACACCCTATACTTTAGATGCCCTACCATCCGACTCACAGCCAGGCGGAAATGTGTACACATTAAGTTGCTATGTGTGATGTCACATTTGTCTGGGGAGCCGCCTTTTTCAGGGCGACCTTCAGAGCCGGGGGTTGTCATTACCTGTGGACCAGAAGCACCTGTTGTGTGACATCTTCTGCGATGGTTTTTCCAGAGAAGTGACTATGTGAGTTTTGCCCGAGCTTTATCGGCCTGCTGGGGCCTAAAAAGAACCTGAGTTGCGATATCAAACCCTCACTTTTCTGCGGCGGGGCGGGGAGGAGGGCGGGGCACTTTTTGACAGTAACTCCTTTCACGGCTTGGAACAGGACACGGTCAAAGACACACACTTATTTTCCCACCCCTCCTCCGTCGGGTAGGCGTGGCCAGGGCGGGGCCAGGCTTCTGGCTGGTTTAGAGGCTGGGTTCTCCCAGGCACAGGGTCCGCGTGCACCCGGCATCCGGCAGACCTGCAGCACGGAGATATGGCCGCGGGGTCCCTAGAAGCTGAGACGGTTCCCAGGGCACCGCGCCCCGCTTCCAGGGGAGGTGCCGCGCATGCGTGTGAGTCAGGTGTACTCGGGATGCAGACGGGAATCCTCGTCCTCAGGGGAAACGGCTTCTCCGGATTTCAGTAGCTGAGTTAGAGCGCACTAGGGTGCCCCAGTGGGAAAAGGCGCAGGAAGCCGGAGATCGGGAATCCCGGAGGAAAACAAACAGCGTTCCCTGCCCAACGGAGGGAGCGGAGTTCCCTTTCAGGCACCGAAAGCTTTTTTGCGGAGATCTGTTTTGTTTGGCACGGAATGCGTGGAGAAATTGGCTCAGGAGACCGTCTCCCTCTTTAAGCGTGTGAATGGCATATGGATTCGCTTTCAGCATTTGCTATGAATATGGGGTTGTTTTTTTTTACTTTTTTTAAATGAGAGCTATTTTGTTATTTACTTATTTCTGAGAAAGGAACCCAAAAGTATACTGCCGTCACTGTCGGGAAGAACGTCAGTTCCTTCTTCGTGAATTTCCTTCCATGTAAAGATAAGACGTTTGTTTGGGGAGCCTTATTTCTACACTATGGTTACCAACAGGAATATCCTGGATGAGAAGAAAAGGCTTATTTTCAAGGACATGCTTACTTTATAAGAAAATGAGAATGCCTGTATTAGACTTTTTTCTTGTTACCTAGTATTAAAAATCCAGCATTTGCTTATTCGGGTCATATAGGAGGAATCATTTCAGCCATCTTCCAGTTCATTTCAAACTTTTTAAGAAATGTCATCTTGCTATCAGTATTGTAACCTGATTATACTCTTATTTGGTCATTAGTGTTTGTTATTTTTTCATCCTCACCCAAAGATATGTTTGTTGTTTTTAGAGAGAGGGGAAGGGAAAGAAAGAGGGAGGAACATCGATCGGCTGCCTCCCACCCGAGTCCCACCCAGGGACCGAACCCACAACCTTTTGGTGAACAGGCCGATGCTGCACGCCCCCGCTGAGCCACCCGGCCGGGGCGTGTTCTTTTTATGTCTAAAAGCACTTTTCGAAGATCTTTTCCAGCGAGAGAAGTGAGCGCTGCCCTTGAGCGGGCAAGCCTGTCAGCCGAGCGAGAGATCAGACAGGTGGCAGGACCGGCCTCCCACGCTGGACCCTCCCCCTCTCTTCCCAGGACCCCGGGGAGTCAGTGGGGCCTCTCTCGGGAAAGCAGGAACTTCGGAATTTGCGTGCAAATGGCATGTCATGCATCGCTTTGCTGAGGGGGCCAAAGCAGTTCCTGGGTCCTTCTGTGTGCTTTCTAGGGAGCCCCCCTGGAAAGGGGGGCAAGTCTGGACAGCACCTGCGACATTTGCTTGTCACTAAGAGGAAAGAGCTGCCAGTGAGTCCCCTGGGTGCCGGGGCTGGGAGTGGCTGCCAGGGTGGGACAGGGACCTGGGACAGTGATGTCACTGCTCCCACCGTCCTCGGTGAGGAAGAGCAGGATGGGACTAGAGGCACAGACACCACGAGCAGCGCTGGGTCCTGAGGGCTCAGGCAAGGGGAGGAGCAACAGGGGTGCCCGAGGGCTGGGCTTGTCCCTGAGCCCAGGTCTCATCTGCGCTACAGGCGCAGGGGCCTCATACCGAGGTGGGGGGAGAGATGCGAGTGGAAGCACCAGCAAAGCACTGTGCCCCTCCTGTCCCCTCTCCGCTCCCTTCCTGGGCTGTGCTGTTCTGTGACCCAGGTGTCTGCCGCTCACTTGCTGGACGTCCTGTTGACCCCTCCAGTCAGTTTGGTGTCCCAGCGCCTCTTGGCCGCACTTTCTGGAAGTCCATGCACACGGGCATCACGCCTTTTCACCATTCGTGAAACTGAATGGTCTGAAACACCCCCGCAACCTTCCGGGCAGGTTTGCTGAGGAAGGTTCCCTTCTCCAGCTGAGTTGGGGAAACTGAGTCTGGCACCACGTGGAAGGGCATGCAGCACAGCCCCACTGGCTCCCCATCCCCAGTCTCTCGGGGCACCGCCCGCCACCGCCCTCAACCAGGGACGCCATGATGGTCCCTCCTTCACCTGCAGAAGGAGAGCAGATGGGACCCAGCCGAGTTTGGAGAGGGGACACGTTCCCTCTCTGACAAAGTCGGAGGCACAGACCTTGGTGAGGAAGAGGCTCTGGGCATCCAGACGGGCTCCTGTGTCCCCATGGACACTAGTACTTCCTTCCAGCTGGCCTCCAGGACCCGCAGGTGTGGCTGCAGGCTTCCTGCTCCCTCTGCCACGGTGAGCAACGTGCGTCTCTGTATTGGATACTGAGGGGCCACCCTTCCTTCCACTCTGCGGGCCAGCTCCTCCCGGGAAGGTCAAGAGCAGGGCAGGTTCAGCTGCAGGTCAGAACCTCGAGGGCACATCCCTCCTCCAGGGGAGCCAGGTGGGCGCCAGCCGCCCCCATGCCCTCCAGGTCCCCACATCCCCCGCACCCCCGCTCCCCCACGACCCCGGCAGCCCAGCAGGTCCTCCCTCCTTGTCTGGACGGGGAGAGCATCTCCCTCCCAGGGTTGAGCCCTGACAGACCTTCCGGGTTCTTCTGTGCGTGTGTGTTTCTGGGCTCATGGGGGTGTCTCTTTCTGTGGAAAATTCAGAAGTCTCAGTGGAACAAAAGACAGTTCAAGCACCTCTCCCCACAGTGTGCCCTCACCCCCACTTTTTTGTCCCAAGTAGGATGCAAGGAGTAACTTCCTGTCAAAAAAAAATAATGCCCTCTCCCCCTTCCCCCCCCCCGCCCCTGCTCCCTCCGCCACCCCCCACCGAATGTCGCATGCCCTGCTGCCAGCCTGCCAACTCGGTTTCCCTCTGGAGAAAGGTGGAGCCACATCCTCCCAGCAGCCCCTGCACTCGGGTGCACGTGGCGGTCTCCCTCT